CGGGCGTGGTGGGTCACGCCTGTAATCCAAGCACTTTGGAGGCCAAGGTGGGCGGATCACCTGAGGTCAGGAGTTCGAGACCAGCCTGGCCAACATAGTGAAACCCCATCTTAAAAAAAAAAAAAAAAAAAAAAAAAAAAAAAAAACAGAAAAAGAAAAGAAAACCCTCAATATATAGAAAATTCTCCTAACCACTTCTTCTTTTTTTTTTTTTTTGAGACGGAGTTTCGCTCTTGTTACCCAGGCTGGAGTACAATGGCGCGATCTCGGCTCACCGCAACCTCCGCCTCCTGGGCTCAGGCAATTCTCCTGCCTCAGCCTCCTGAGTAGCTGGGATTACAGGCATGCACCACCACGCCCAGCTAGTTTTTTTGTATTTTTAGTAGAGACGGGGTTTCACCATGTTGACCAGGATGGTCTCGATCTTTCGACCTCGTGATCCACCCGCCTCGGCCTCCCAAAGTGCTGGGATTACAGGCTTGAGCCACCGCGCCCGGCCGTTTTTTTTTTTTTGAAAGAAAAAAAGAAGGAGAAAGAAAAGGGGGTAGAGAGACAGAGAGAACAGGATTCTTGCTCTATTGCCCAGGCTGTAGTGCAATCTTAAAAAGGTATTAAAAACCTCTTTTATGCCAATAATTGTACTTAACAACAGAGACAGGAAGGAATAAGGGAAGAAAATATCAAACAAACAGCCAACCAATATTTCATTTAAGTCTGTGAGATGCTATGCAAATACTGAAGAGTGATTTACTTCCAATTATGTGGTCACTTTCAGAATAGGTGTAATATGATACAGAGAAAAATGTATGTTCTGTAGACCTGGGGTGAAGAATTCTATAAATATTCCCTGAGTTTACTTATTCCAGGTCTAAATTCAAATCATAGATGTCCCTATTAATTTTCTATCTCATTGATCCGTCAAATATTAACAATGCGATGTCAAAATCTCCCACTATTATTGTGCGGGAGTCCAAATCTCTTTATAAGTCAATAAGAACTTGTCTTATGTATCTGGGAACTCCTATATTGGGGACGTATATATTTATGATCATTAACTCCTGTTGCATGATCCTTTTACCATTATATGTCCTTCTTTGTTTCTTTTGGTCTTTGTTACTATTAAAGTCTATTTTGTCAGAGACAAAAGTTACAACTCCTGTTTTTTTTTCTCTCTCTCTCCATTTAGTTGGTAAATATTCCTCCATCCCTTTATTTTGAGTCTTTGTGTGTCATTGTGAGTTAGATCTGGATACAATGTACCAATAGATTTTAACTTTTTATTCCATTTGCCTGTCTGTGTCTTTAATTGGGGCATTGAATCCACTTAAATTTAGGATTAATATTAATATTTGTGAATTCAATATTATAATTGAATGCTAGCTGACTATTTTGCCCATTAGTTCATGTAAATTCTTCATTATAGAGATACTCTTCACGTTTTGGTAAATTTTGGGGATGACTGATACTGGTTGTTCCTTTCTGTTTGTAGTGCTTCTTTCAGAAGGTCTTGTAAAGCAGGCCTGGTGGTGCTGAAATCTGAGTGCTTGTTTGTTCGTGAAAAATGTTATTTTTCCTTCATTTATGAAGCTTAGTTTGGCTGGATATGAGATTCTGGATTGAAAATTCTTTTCTTTGAGGATACTGAATATTGACCCCCACTCTCTTCTAGATTGTAGGGTTTCTGCTGAGAGGTCTGCTGTAAGTCTGATAGGCTTCCCTTTATGGGTAACCTGACCTTTCTCTCTAGCTGCCCTCAGAATTTTCTCCTTTATTTCAACCCTAGTGAATCTAGTGATTATGTGTCTTGGAGTTGCTCTACTTGAGGAATATTTTTGTAGCGTTCTCTGGATTACCTGGAGTTGAGTATTGTCCTGCCTTACTAGGTTAGGAAAGTTTTCCTGAATAATATCCTGAAGAATATTTTCCAGCTTGGATTCATTCTCTTCATGACATTCAGGTACACCTATCAGTCGTAAATTAGGTCTTTACACATAGTCTCATATTTCTTGGAGACTTTGCTCCTTCCTTTTTACTCTTTCTTCTTGAAACTTGTGTTCTCATTTCATTTCTTTAAGTAGGTCTTCAACCTCTGATATCCTTTCTTCTGATTGATCAATTCGACTGTTAAAACCTGTGCATACTTCTCAAAGTTCTCATATTGTATTCTTCAGTTCTATTAATTCACTTATTTTCATTTCTAAATTGTGTATTCCCATTAGCATTTCGTCAAACCTTTTTTCAAAGTTCTTAGTTTCTGTACATTGGGTTAGAACATGTTCTTTTAGCTCACAAAAGTTCCTTATTATCCACCTTCTGAAGCCTAAATCTGTTAATGGAATTCACTCGTTCTCCATCAGGTCTTGTTCCCTTGCTGATGAGGAACTGTGATCCCCTGTAGAAGGAGAGGCATTCTTGTTGATTCCCAGTGCCGGAATCTGAGCAACCCACTGCGCCGCTAAAACAGCAGCATTGAGATTCGTGGTGCTTTTCTGCTCGGGAATCTCCGGTCTGGCTTCCCTCTTGAATCCCTTTTTCAATCAGGTAAATGGGCCTACCCGGAGCTCCAAATGTAAATCAAAAGGGGACCCAGTCCCGTTTACTCTGCACAGAGAACCGCGGGGCTGAAGTGCCGGCAAAACCGCCACGCCACTCAAAAGAGTCATGCTAGCAACCCGTGGGGCTCCTCCGCTGGGAATCTCCTAGTCGGTAGGCAACAAAAATTTGTCTGAAAGTGTGGCGTCCTCTCTTTCTGTGCACTTTCTCTGGGAGCTGCAATCCTGAGCTGCTAGTAATCCGCCATCTTGGATCTCTCCTTTTTTTTTTTTTTTTTTTTTGAGACAGAGTTTCGCTCTTGTTACCCAGGCTGGAGTGCAATGGCGCGATCTCGGCTCACCGCAACCTCCGCCTCCTGGGTTCAGGCAATTCTTCTGCCTCAGCCTCCTGAGTAGCTGGGATTACAGGCATGAGCCACCATGCCCAGCTAATTTTTTGTATTTTCAGTAGAGACAGGGTTTCACCATGTTGACCAGGATGGTCTCGATCTCTCGACCTTGTGATCCACCCGCCTCGGCCTCCCAAAGTACTGGGATTACAGGCTTGAGCCACCGCGCCCGGCCCTCTCCTTTTTTTTTTTTAATTGAGATGGAGTTTTGCTCTTGTTGCCCACGCTGGAGTGCAATGGCATGATCTTGGCTCACCACAACCTCTGCCTCCCGAGTAGCTGGGATTACAGGCATGCACCATCATGCCCTGCTAATTTTGTCTTTTTAGTAGAGACAGGGTTTCTCTGTGTTGGTCAGGCTGGTCTTGAACTCCCGACCTCAGGGGCTGGTCTTGAACTCCCAACCTCAGGCGATCTGCCTGCCTCAGCCTCCCAAAGTGCTGGGATTACAAGTGTGAGCCACCGCACCTGGCTTTGTTTTTGTTGTTGTTGTTGTTGAGATGGAGGCTGGAGTGCAACGGTGTGATCTCAGCTCACTGCAACCTCCACCTCCTGGGTTCAAGAGATTCTTCTGCCTCAGTCTCCTAAGTAGCTGGGATTATCGGCATGCACCACTATGCCCAGCTAACTTTTGTGTTTTTAGCAGAGACGGGGTTTCACCATGTTAGTCTGGTCTTGAACTCCTGACCTCAGGTGATCCACCCACCTCAACTTCCCAAATTGCTGAAATTACAGGCATGAGCCACTGCGCCTGGCCCCTCCTCTCCTTTTTTTTTTTTTTTTTTTTGAGATGGAGTCTTGCTCTGTCGCCAAGGCTAGAGTATAATGGCATGATTTCGGCTCACTGTAACCTCCGCCTCCCAGGTTCAATTGATTCTCCTGCCCCAGCCTCCCAAGTAGCTGGGATTATAGGCACCAGCTACCACACCCAGCTAATTTTTGTATTTTTTAGTAGAGATGGGGGTTTCACCAGGTTGGCCAGGCTGGTCTTGAACTCCTGACCTCAGGTGATTCACCTGCCTCAGCCTCTCAAAGTGCTGGGATTTCAGGCGTGAGCCACTCTACCCAGCCCCTCCTCTCTCTCTCTCTCTCTCTCCTTTTTTTCCCCTCCTCTCTTTTTAATTGTGATGTTTTAATTTACAGTGTAAGAGAGAAATGTATCTCTTGGGGAAATTGCAAACATACTTAAGGTTTTGTCACTTAAGGAGCATCAGAAGGATTTTTTTTCTACAATCAAGTATCATTTAGAAAATGACAATATTTATTAAGTTCCTTGGAGTGTTCTTGGTGGTACAAATCAACTTCATTCCCCCTTTTTTTCTCTCCTGGAGTAGTTTCCTTGCTTAACTACAGTAATTTAAAAGAAAGGCAGTTTAGTTATCACTGACATTCTGGTTTCTTTTTTTTTTTTTTTTTGAGACGGAGTTTCACTCTTGTTACCCAGGCTGGAGTACAATGGCGTGATCTCGGCTCACCGCAACCTCCGCCTCCTGGGTTCAAGCAATTCTCCTGCCTCAGCCTCCCGAGTAGCTGGGACTACAGGCATGTGCCACTGTGCCCAGCTAATTTTTGTATTTTTAGTAGAGACAGGGCTTCACCATGTTGACCAGGATGGTCTCGATCTCTTGGCCTCGTGATCCACCCGCCTCAGCCTCCCAAAGTGCTGGGATTATAGGTGTGAGCCACTGTGACCAGCCTTGTTGCTCCTTTTAGGGGGCTGATCATGCAGGCAAAGTGGCGGCATAGCGGTTCAGACATTTCTGTTGAGTTTTGGATCCATCCTTAAGAAGCATGAGAAATGAAGATAAGGGACCCCAGAGGTGATTTCTCTGGGTTACTGGCTGGAAGATTCAGGACAGCTAGTTTCTTTTACGGAGGCTGGTGGCCCAGGTATACAGCTGTGTGGGAAAGGGGGCTGTGCAGCCCTGGGTTAGCCCAGCTCAATTCCCTAATCTAGCTTTTCATTTCATTTCCCTACCCTCATCCCTAAAGCATTAATGATATAATAGTGAGAAGTTGGTGACATGCTAAGGGCTGCAGTGATGGATGTATTCCTTACTTAGGAGTCTTACTCTGAATGCATTTGTATGAAAATTATAGAGAGGGTAGAATCATGATTGTCATGATTGTTAATGTCAATAAAAAGTGGTATCAGGTTAAAAAAAAAAACACTACATTGAAAGTAGCAATAACTGGATTCTGCTGTCTTCTTCCAACCTTGAAAAAGACATATAACTTCTCTGCATGTCTCTTCTCTGATCCTGGGGAAAGTGTGTTTCCTGTGGCTGTTGTACAGATGAGGTAACTTATGTGAAGTGTTCTGAACTCCTTAAGGAACAATGTCAAAGCAATGAAATGCAGTACCATTATTACAGTAAAGATGGTGAAGAGGAGGAGAAGACAGATCTACATTTTCTTCCTTAATTTTGTAATCTTTCCAGACGCTGGTAGGTCCTTCTGAAGCCATTCCCTGTTCCTTAGGTTGCACTGGTGGGGGCTTCCATGCCGGAGGCAGAAGGGATACTCTCTACCCTCTGAAACCATTCATCAGGAAGGCCTTGGTTGAGATGTGCTAGGAGAGCACAGTATCTGCAAATAGAAGGCACCTGTCTCCCTTCTGCAGTCCAAGGAGAGGCTGCCATGGACAGTGTGTTTCATGGCTTGTCTACTCCTCTTTCACAGACCCTACAGCTTGGGGCCTGGGCTCCTCTGACCACCCTCACTGACAAAGGAAAGTGAGTCCAGAGAAGTTGATGCTTCCTACCTGTTGGAGCAGGCCAGCAGTATAAGCGTGTTGTTACTGTCCCATCCGCCATGTCCTTCAGTGCCACCATTCTCTTCTCCCCTCCCAGTGGCAGCGAGGCCAGATGCCGCTGCTGCACCTGTAGGAGTGAGACTAGTGGGGGCAACGCAGGCTCCGAGGGCGGGAATCCTCCTCCCAGCACCCCCATCACAGTGACTGGACATGGCCTGGCTGTTCAGAGCTCGGAGCAGCTCCTGCATATTATCTACCAGCGGGTGGATAAGGCAGTGGGTTTGGCTGAAGCCGCTCTGGGTCTTGCCAGGGCCAACAATGAGTTGCTAAAACGTCTCCAGGAGGAAGTGGGCGAGCTAAGGCAAGGGACAGTGTCCACCCCTGATGAAGATGGGGAAAGCCGGGCACATAGTTCTCCACCTGAGGAGCCTGGGCCTCTCAAGGAGAGTCCCGGGGAAGCCTTCAAGTCTCTGTCTGCCGTGGAAGAGGAGTGTGACAGCGTGGGCAGTGGCGTGCAGGTGGTGATTGAGGAGCTGCGGCAGCTGGGAGCAGCCTCAGTAGGGCCTTTGGACTTCCCAGCAACTCAGAAGGACATGCGGCTCTCGGGGTGCACGCTGGCTGCCAGCGAGGGGCCCCCCCTGCTCAATCCTGTGAGTATGGCAGCAGGGGCTGTTGTTCCTAAGTGCTTTTCCTGGCCTTTTCACTCTTTTTCTTTTCTCTTCTTTTCTTTCCATCTTTAAACCTTTTCTATTTGTGATAAACCAAGTTTCCTTTTCCTTCGGGGATAGTCAGCTCTCATATTTTCTTCCTGAACCCTCAGCCTCTTTGGTAGAAGGTCATTTTTTGGTGTGTGTATAGTGACAGGGTGCCCTTCCCTCTCTCTCAATAGCTCCGCATGGCACCTTCTCCACAGCTGTCTCGGCTGCTCCACGGGCTCTGCCTCTCCTGGCGAGGATGCCTGCGGTGCACAGACGGCTCATTCATATTTTATCGCGGACCCTCTGCTTGCCAAGAGGAATTCAGTACAAAGAGAGATGGGAATGTACAGAGGAGAGAGGCAGAGGTGGAGAGAGGAGGAAGAAGTGAGAAGACAAAGATAATAGAAGACAGAGGGAGGGAAAGAGACAAGTAGAAATGAAGGGCTGAGGGAGGAGACAAAGTGAAAAAAGGGAGCACAGAAGAAAGGTGAGTTTATGTGGAGACAGAATCTACACCACAGGCAAGAGACTATGAGGTAAGGTGGGAAGGAGGTAGAGGAAAGGAAATAAAATGGGAAATGAGAAAACGAAATGGCCAACTGAGTGCTAACAGTAAGAGAATAACATATAGGGAGAAAGAGGGAAGAAAAGGAGGAAGCAAGCGAACATATTTTGTGAGCAGGAAAAGACATGGATGCGCATTGTGCTATTTCAGTTTCTTTACTGCTTAAGGGCCATATGAGCAGGAAAATCCTGGCTGAGTAGAGTAAGAACTGCAGAATGTCACACATGGAAGTATGAAAAGGAGATGGAGCAACTATAGAGATCTTAGAGATAGGAAAATAACAGATGTGATGCCACTTGAGAGACGGTGGGAGTTCTTTCAGCTCTCCTCCACCTTATTCTCCATCTGCCCTCTCTTTTTCTCCTCCCCCTGTAACAAAGCGTAGACACCCAGTAAATAGTAAAGGAGCAGAACACACAGGGCAGATTGGAGGGATGAAACTCCCAGCCCATCTGCTGGATCTGAGAAATGAATACATAAACCCCCTTCTCTCGCTCCAGTGTAACACAGCAACTGGTCATTGCTCTCCCGAAGGCACAGCCATATGGGTAATGGCCACTGCTGCTCACCCCAGTCTGTGGCTGGTCAGGACTCTTAGTGGTTCCAGCCCAAGGGAGGAGGACCTGGAAGGTGGGAGGCAGGAGGGTACCAGGCCAGGCATTGCCCTGAGCTGTGGGTTCTTTGAGGCTTCCAAGCCGACAGGATGGAATTAGATTTCACAGCACAGAAAGCAGCTCACAGGTCTATAAATCTCAGTCTCCTCCCCCGCTTCTTTCTCTGTGTGTGTTTGTGTGTGTGTATGTGTGTGTGTCCCCACTTTCACTGTTTTGTTTTCTTGACTGCAGAAATCCCCCCTCCTTTCTTCCTCTCTTTCCCTTGCTCCCTCCTTCCTTTCCCAGCTCTGTATGTCCTTGAATGAGGGCACAGGCAATCAGGTAGATGTCAGGGGCTGTGACAGTCGAATGTGGCCAGGGTAGGATCAAGGTGAAGGCATGGGCTGACCCTGGGAATGGAGGATAGGTGAGGGAGCTATCCCTGCCAGTCTCTCTAGGGATTTCTGACCTTATATCTTCCTCCTTTGCTCATTGTTCTTTTATGTCCTTCTTTTCTTTTCTTTTTTTTTTTTTTTTTTTTTTTTTGAGACGGAGTTTCGCTCTTGTTACCCAGGCTGGAGTGCAATGGCACGATCTCGGCTCACCGCAACCTCCGCCTCCTGGGTTCAGGCAATTCTCCTGCCTCAGCCTCCTGAGTAGCTGGGATTACAGGCACGTACCACCATGCCCAGCTAATATTTTTTTTTATTTTTAGTAGAGACGGGGTTTCACCAAGTTGACCAGGATGGTCTCGATCTCTCGACCTCGTGATCCACCCGCCTCGGCCTCCCAAAGTGCTGGGATTACAGGCTTGAGCCACCGCGCCCGGCCTTTTGCTTGATTTCTTTCTCATCATCACATCTTCTCCCAACCCTTTCAGACAAAACACTTACCTAGCTACATTTCTTATATCCAAGAGCAACCCATAAAAGACTATTCACAGTGTCACAAACATGCTTTGTCCTTGTGAGCAGCCCTACAGTAACAACCCAACATGAGAGACCCTGTACACACAAGAAGTATTTGCCCAACACTCATAGGAGTCCCAGAGAAACAAGCCATTGACCATTAAAGACTGTGTTAGAGTCCCTACTTCTTTATACTTTCTGTTCAATATCCTTAGCCAAAGAATGATGGTTAAGCAGGTTCCCCTAAGCCTGGCTAGCTAACAGGCTATTCTTTTTTATGTTCTTAGCTGGTGGATGATTATGTGGCTTCTGAGGGTGCAGTACAGCGAGTGCTGGTCCCTGCTTATGCCAAGCAACTCTCACCAGCCGCACAACTGGCAATCCAGCGGGCAACCTCAGAGACAGGACCAGAAAATGGAACCAAGTTGCCACCACCTCACCCTGAGGACATGCTCAATTCTGCTGCTGCGCTGGACAGTGCCTTGGAAGAGTCAGGCCCTGGGAGCACTGGGGAGCTGAGACACTCTCTAGGGCTGACTGTTTCCCCATGCAGGACCAGAAGAAGTGGGCAGAAGAACTCCAGGCGCAAGCGGGATCTGGTACTTTCTGTGAGTGAGCTCAATTTCTATAAATTTTTCTTCAGTCTGGAGAGATAAGTGAGGAGTGAAGGGTGGGTTGATTTTAGGCCTCCCATATTGAATGAATGCTATACTGAATCCTACTGGAGTGGGAAGGACAAGGAGAGAGGTTATTCTGTAACACTAGGGATTGGAAGTCCCCCTGCTAGATATCAAACTTTTAGATAATGTGGTATCTTCCTTTATATGATATCTCCCAATGTTTTTTCTTTCTTTCTTTTTTTTTTTTTGAGATAAAGTCTTGCTCTGTCTCTCAGGCTGGAGTGCAATGGCACGATCTCGGCTCACTGCAACCTCTGCCTCCCAGGTTCAAGCGATTCTCCTCTCTCAGCCTCCTGAGTAGCTGGGATTACAGGTGCCTGCCATCAGGTCCAGCTGATTTTTGTATTTTTAGTAGAGACCGGGTTTTACCATGTTGGCCAGACTGGTCTCAAACTCCTGACCTCAGGTGATCCACCCACCTTGGCCTCCCAAAGTACTGGGATTACAGGCATCAGCCACCGTGCCTGGCCTTCCCAGTGTTCTAATAATCCCGATGAGAAGATCTTTAAGGGATTGAGCAGATTGATCACCAAAGGGTAACTCTGGAAATTGCCTGCAAATTAAGCTAGTGTGCAGAGTAAGTGGCAAGGGCCCTTGGGTGGAAAAGCAGGTAAAGCTGTCCTGAGGTAGTCTCAAGCTTCAAAGATGCAGAGAATCACTAGACCTTCAGCTCAGTTATAGAGATTTGGAGATTACGGTCACTCTAAGAGCTCTCAGCTAGGAAGGGACTGGCCTGAACAGGTCTGCCTGAAACCTTGTTGGAGTGGCTGGGAGCCGGGAGAACATCCTGCTGAGCTGGGAGGCACCAGCCTGGCAGCTGACCAAACCTAGAGAACTTCTAGGGCAGTAGTTCTCAACCTGGAGTGATTTTGCCCCCAAGGGACATTTGGAAACATCTGGAGACATTTGTGGTTATTACAACTGGTGGGTGGGTAGGGGCAGGGGAAGGAGCATGCTACTGACATCTAGTGGGTGTTCGGCTAAACATCCTGCAGTGCACACGACAGCCCCATAACAATTATCCAGCTCAAAATGCCAATAGTGAAGAAGCTGAGAAACCTTTTTTTTTTTTTTTTTTGAGACGGAGTTTCGCTCTTGTTACCCAGGCTGGAGTGCAATGGCGCGATCTCGGCTCACCGCAACCTCCGCCTCCTGGGTTCAGGCAATTCTCCTGCCTCAGCCTCCTGAGTAGCTGGGATTATAGGCACGCACCACCATGCCCAGCTAATTTTTTGTATTTTTAGTAGAGACGGGGTTTCACCAAGTTGACCAGGATGGTCTCGATCTCTCGACCTCGTGATCCACCCGCCTCGGCCTCCCAAAGTGCTGGGATTACAGGCTTGAGCCACCGCGCCCGGCCTGAGAAGCTGAGAAACCTTTAAAGTGACCAACCTTAAAGGGATCAATTCTGTACCCAAAAGCTTTTTTTTTTTCTTTCTTTCTTGAGATGGAGTCTCACTCCCATTGCCCAGGCTGGAGTGTAGTGGTGTGATCAAGGCTCACTGCAGCTTTGACTTCCCAGGCTCAAGTGATCTCCTGTTTCAGCCTCCCGAGTAGCTGGGATTATAGGCGTGTACTACCACACCTGGCTAATTTTTTGCATTTTCAGTAGAGACGGAGTTTCACCATGTTGTCCAGGCTGGTCTCACAAAAGCTGCTTTCTGACAACCATGGGATATTGTTACCATTATTTTGAAACAAAGTCTTGCTCGGTTGCCCAGGCTGGAGAACAGTGGCATGATCTCAGCTCACTGCAACCTCCGCCTCCTGGGTTCAAGTGATTCTCTTGCCTCACTCAGCCTCCCAAGTAGCTGGGATTATATGCATGCACTGCCACGCCTGGCTAAGTTTTGTATTTTAGTAGAGATGGGGTTTCGCCATGTTGGCCAGGCTGGTCTTGAACTCCTGAGCTCAGGCATCTACCCACCTTGGCCTTTTGAAGTGTTGGGATTACAGGCTTGAGCCACTGTGCCCAGCTGGAGATATTCTTTAGCCATATAATGTTTTTATTGGCTGTAATGAGTTTATAGTTACAATTTGCATAAAAGCAAGATTTTTCATCACTTCCATTCTACTTGTGCCTGCTGCCTCCAGAGAGAGGTACAGTGTTGAGGCCTGGCTTCTTCCTTCCCTTAGGAGAGTGGTGGAACTGAGGGCCTACAGGAAGGATAGTAATGCTCACTCACCATCATGCTCTATTTTGTGCTTGAGAAGGATCTGGAGGACCAGTTAGGGAGCTTTGCTGCCCATCACAAAGGAAGGTTTAAAATGTTCTTGTGGCAGACTGTGGGTTTAAAGGGGGAGGGACTGTTGTTCCAATCTTTAGCTCTGAGATGCAATCAAAGAGATATCGCTACAATTTTCTGGGGCTCTTGAGGATTGCTGCTAGGGATCCTGTGAACCAAAAGGATCAAACCAGAATTCTTAATTCCTTGGAATGCGGCAGATCCCAGCCACTCCTTGGGAAAATATTTTTAGCTCATTCAGTAGGTAGGTGAGCCAAAAGCCTTTACAGTCCTCACACTTATTGTCTAGAGTATTTTCCCTTTCCACATCAAGCCTGGTTTGATTTTTATCAGCTGATCTCTTCCAAGCCACTTGAGTTGGAAACTATGTAACTCCCTTTTTTCCTTTTTTTTTTTTTTAAACTCTCCCAAATATTTTCTGAAACATTCAGTGATTCCTTTGTGATTCCTTAAGTGTGGATTACTAAAAGGTAAAGTAACTATATTGAATATGCAGCTAGTATAATAATCTCCTTTTTACAAAGTGGAGACCATAGCCAAAAAAAGTTAACAATACTTTCTTAAGTTGGTATGGTTAATCAGCCATAGAGGTACAAGGATAAATTGGGGATTTCTGAATATGGAGCTGAAAAGTTCTCAGTTCAGGATATGAATCTGTCTGTTTGGGACTGGGTAACTTCCACTGACTAAGGGAATTGGGGATGAAAATATAATCAGAAACAACACAACTAAACTTTTTTTTTTTTTGAGACAGAGTTTCGCTCTTGTTACCAGGCTGGAGTGCAATGGCGGGATCTCGGCTCACTGCAACCTCCGCCTCCTGGGTTCAGGCAATTCTCCTGCCTCAGCCTCCTGAGTAGCTGGGATTACAGGCACGTGCCACCATGCCCAGCTGATTTTTTTGTATTTTTAGTAGAGACGGGGTTTCACCATGTTGACCAGGATGGTCTCGATCTCTCGACCTCGTGATCCACCCGCCTTGGCCTCCCAAAGTGCTGGGATTACAGGCTTGAGCCACCGTGCCCGGCCTAACTAAACTTAATTGAAGGAAATGTAAAACCCTGCATTAGGGCTGGGTAGGGTGGCTCACATCTGTAATCCCAGCACTCTGGGAGGCCAAGGTGGGCAAATCACCTGAGGTTGGGAGTTCAAGACTAGCCTGGCCAACATGGTGAAACTCTGTCTCTACTAAAAATACAAAAATTAGCTGGGTGTGGTGGCATGTGCCTGTAATTCCAGCAACTTGGGAGGCTGAGGTAAGAGAATCTCTTGGACCTGGGAGGTGGAGGTTGCAGTGAGCCGAGATTACTGTACTCCAGCCTGGGCAAAAGAGCAAGACTCCGTTTCAATAAATAAATAAATGAATAAATATTTCAGGTGCTATTATGGGCAAAACTGGGAACAGATTTGAAGCATCTAAGGCAAACTTTTTAACAAGTAGAAATGTTCAATAGTATAAGCTGACTCAAAATGGAGAGCCCATCATTAGATGTGTATAAGCAAGGCAGAAAGACAACCTGTTTAATGTTGTGAAAGGGAGATTGGGTAATACAGTCTCCATGGTTCTTTCTGATTCACATTTCTGTTATTTTAGATTTCTGTTTTTTAGACCCTGGTGTATATACTCCTGAGATTTATGGTAACGCATGAGGAGATATATAAAACCACAGACAAACCCAGGGCTTTTTCCTGGGTCATCAACTTTATTAGAAGATTCCAGAAGATGGCTGGGCGTAGTGGCTCACGCCTGTAATCCCAGCACTTTGGGAGGCCAAGGCGGGTGGATCACGAGGTCAAGAGATCGAGACCATCCTGGCCAACACGGTCAAACCCTGTCTTTACTAAAAATACAAAAATTAGCTGGGCATGGTGGCGCATGCCTATAGTCCCACTAATTGGGAGGCTGAGGCAGGAGAATTGCTTGAAATCAAGAGGTGGAGGTTGCAGTGAGCCTAGATCGCGCTCCACCACACTCCAGCCTGGCAAAAGACTGGGACTGTTTCAAGAAAAAAGAAGTTTCCAGAAGACATTTTTATATTAAAAGAAATACAGATACCTTCTGAAGAAAAACTTTAAATGTATAAGAGTAGGGGACTTGAAGAAATGTTTACTTGGCCAGTGTGGTGGCTTACACCTGTAATCCCAGCACTTTAGGAGGGAGAAGCGGGTGGATCACCTGAGCTCAGGAGTTCGAGACCAGCCTGGCCAACACAGTGAAACCTCATCTCTAGAAAAATACAAAAATTAGCCAGGCATGATGGTGAGTGCCCATAGTCCCAGCTACTTGGGAGGCTGAGGTGGGAGAATTGCATGAACCCAGGAGGCAGAGATTATAGTGAGCTGAGATCATGCCACTGCACTCCAGCCTGAGCAACAGAGCAAGACTCCATCTCAAAAAAACAAAGAAAAAGAAAGAAAAAAGAAATGTTCACTCGCAGTACTCCTGCTGATGTATACCTGCTTTCTTGTTGCTGTCAGGGGTATGTTCATGGAAAGGTTTGAGACCCTCTGCTCTAGTGATCACACTACTCAGGAGCGGAAGTAAAGGCAGGGATGATCCTGGAATCTTGACACACATCAAATGAAGGCTCCATTTGAAATAGTACTCTTGGCTTAGAAAGGGCAACTATAGAAATGGTACCTAGGCTAGGGCCGGGCGCGGTGGCTCAAGCCTGTAATCCCAGCACTTTGGGAGGCCAAGGCGGGTGGATCACGAGGTCGAGAGATCGAGACCATCCTGGTCAACATGGTGAAACCCCATCTCTACTAAAAATACTAAAAATTAGCTGGGCATGGTGGCACGTGCCTGTAATCCCAGCTACTCAGGAGGCTGAGGCGGGAGAATTGCCTGAACCCAGGAGGCGGAGGTTGCGGTGAGCCGAGATCGCGCCATTGCACTCCAGCCTGGGTAACAAGAGTGAAACTCCGTCTCAAAAAAAAAGGAAATGGTACCTAGGCTATAGGAAGGATTCAGACAGACAGTCCCTTAGGGACAATGCCTTTTTACCCTAGGTACCACAGGAGAGTTTTTATAATATCCACTCTTAGCTTGATTGTATTTTCTTTTTTTTCCCCTAGAAACTGGTCCACAATGTGCATAACCACATCACCAATGACAAGAGATTCAATGGGTCTGAAAGGTATGGTCCCCTTAAGGAAAAAGAATGAGAAGGTACTTTGCTAAGGACAGGGAAGTAGAGGGGGATGCTCCAATCCAGCAATGAGACTAAGGCTTTGATCTCACCATACCTTCTTAGGCTGTGGAGGGATTTGCCACCAAGTTGATTGGTGCTGGGTATTTCTATTTGTCTGGCTCTTACAAAACTGATAGCCTTATTCATTCTCTTCTCTTTGTGGCAGCATCAAGTCCTCTTGGAATATTTCAGTAGTGAAGTTTCTTCTGGAAAAGCTCAAGCAAGAGCTGGTGACCAGTCCTCACAATTACACTGATAAGGAGCTAAAAGGTGAGAAAAATGGGTTTAACTCCTATGCCATCCTTTCTCCCCCTCTCTTCCCACTCCCTTTTCTTGGTCAGAGGAGAAGAGGAATAATAGAGATGATTTAGGTGGTTTTGAAAATAGTGGATTTGAAGCTTTTTTTTGGTTGTTCTCACCTACAATATATTCATAGAATTATCTCAAATTGCCTGTTTATTTCCATCTCAGTCTGAAATGAAAATGAGAGAAGGAAAGAGCTAGAACACCATCATGCATTCTGTTTATGCAGGTCTTGAATCTAAGGTGTTATGAGGAGGTGTTATGTTCAGAAGCCAGGCCTGTCCATTGGTCCATAAATATTATTTCCCAGGCTTTCTCTTTCCTTGCTCTCTTTCGTTATTTGTAGCCAACGCTGAAATATTATGAAAGCTTCTGCTGAAAAACTGCTTGTAGGGCCAGCTACTGTAGCTCATTTCTGTAATCCCAGCACTTTGGGAGGCCATGGCAGGAGGATTGCTTGAGCCCAGAAGTTCGAGACTAGCATGGGCAACATGGCAAAACCCCAGCTTTACCAAAAACAGACAAACAAAAATAACAAAAATTAACTGGGCGTAGTGGCATGCATCACATAAGTCCTAGTTATTTGGGAGGCTGAGGTGGCAAGATTGCTCGTGCCTGCAAGGCAGAGGTTGCAGTGAGCCGAGATCATGCCACTGCACTCCAGCCTGGGCAACAGAGCCAAACCTTGTTTCAAAAAAAAGAAAAAATACTTGTAATCATCCACAAGAGTGGCAATAGGGGTAGATTTGTTGTTTTTTTTTTTTTTTTTTTTTTTTTTTTTGAGACGGAGTTTCGCTCTCGTTGCCCAGGCTGGAGTGCAATGGCGCGATCTCGGCTCACCGCAACCTCCGCCTCCTGGGTTCAGGCAATTCTCCTGCCTCAGCCTCCTGAGTAGCTGGGATTACAGGCACACGCCACCATGCCCAGCTAATTTTTAGTATTTTTAGTAGAGACGGGGTTTCACCATGTTGACCAGGATGGTCTCGATCTCTCGACCTCGTGATCCACCCGCCTCGGCCTCCCAAAGTGCTGGGATTACAGGCTTGAGCCACCGTGCCCGGCCTGTTCTTATTTTTTAACTTTTTTTTTTTTTGAGACGGCGTCTCACTCTGTCACCTAGGCTGGAGTGCAGTGGAATGATCTCAGCTCACTGCAACCTCTGCCTCTCGGGTTCAAGCAGTTCTCCAGCCTCAGCCTCCTGAGTAGCTGGGATTACACGTGCACACCACCATGCCCAGCTAATTTTTGTGTTTTTAGTAGAGACGGGGTTTCATCATGTTAGTCAGGCTGTTCTCCAACTTCTGACCTCGTGATTCACCCACCTCAGCCTCCCAAAGTGCTGGGATTACAGGTGTAAGCCACCATGCCAGAAGTTTAAAAAAAAATTTTTTTTTTTTGAGACGGAGTTTCGCTCTTGTTACGCAGGCTGGAGTGCAGTGGCGCGATCTTGGCTTACTGCAACCTCCGCCTCCTGGGTTCACACAATTCTCCTGCCTCAGCTTCCTGAGTAGCTGGGACTACAGGCACGTGCCTCCATGCCCAGCTAATTTTTGTATTTTTAGTAGAGACGGGGTTTGACCTTGTTGACCAGGATGGTCTCGATGTCTTGACCTCGTGATCTACCCGCCTCGGCCTCCCAAAGTGCTGGGATTATAGGCTTGAGCCACTGCGCCCGGCCTTAAAATTTTTTTAAATAGAGACTGGGTCTCACTATGTTTCCCAGGCTGGTCTCGAACTCCTGGGCTCAAGCAATCCTCCTGCCTCAGCAGGAGGCCCCCCAAAATGTTGGAATTATAGGTGTGAGCCACCACAGCCAAAAAGGGGTAGTTTTTATTTGGTGGAGGAAGCGGGGAGACAGAGAAGCAATCAATTGGAGTTGTCTTTTTCCAGTGGGAGATATTTGGGAGGACTTAGTGTTGGAGATGGAGGTGAGCAAAGAAAGCTAAACCAATTAGCCAGCCATGGTGATGTGTACCTGTAGGCCCAGCTTCTCAGGAGGCTGAGGCTTGAGGATCACTGAAGCCCAGGAGTAAGAGGCTGCAGTGAGCTATGACCACACCACTGACCTCCAGCCTGGGCAACACAGCAAGACCTTGTCTCTTAACAAAATCATAATAAAATAAATAAAAAGAAAGCTAAACCAAAGAGGAGTGAATAGATGCTGATGGCTATGTCAAGAAAGCCCATCATCTAAATAGTGATCCCCAACCTCCCATTCAGTAGTGTTAGGGCAGAAAAACGGGCTAAAGACCACTCCTCTAGAGGACCCTGCTTCTTGCTTCCTTCCTTCCCTCCTTACCAGGAGCCTGTGTGGCCTACTTCCTTACCAAAAGGCGTGAGTACCGCAACTCCCTGAACCCCTTTAAAGGCTTAAAGGAAAAAGAGGAGAAGAAACTTCGAAGTCGCCGATATCGGGTAGGTTTCTAGGCCTTTCTTTCAAGATGCTAACCTCTAAACCCTAATGTGCCACAGTGGGAAGGGCCAGAGGACAGGGAATCTGAGAATAGGGTTGAGAGTCAGGAATGCAGGGAGATAAGAAGAACAGTGAGCCAGTGCTAAGATCTGACTTGGGGACTGGGTTCTCTTAGGCACAGATTTTACACAGCCTTCCACACCAAACCTTTTCCCCAAATCTAATCCATAGAATGTTTATATTCCTAATCTATGTCCCTGGCTCCTACCTTAGCTTTTTGCCAACCGATCCAGTATCATGAGGCATTTTGGACCTGAGGATCAACGTCTGTGGAAGGATGTGACAGAGGAGCTGATGTCAGATGAAGAGGACAGTCTTAACGAGCCAGGTGTGTGGGTGGCCCGCCCTCCCCGTTTCCGGGCCCAGCGCCTCACAGAGCTCTGCTACCATCTGGATGCTAACTCTAAGCATGGCACCAAAGCCAACCGTGTATATGGGCCCCCCTCAGACAGACTGCCTTCTGCTGAAGCCCAGCTTCTTCCACCAGAACTTTATAATCCTAATTTCCAAGAAGAGGAAGATGAGGGAGGAGATGAGAATGCATCTGTCTCCCCATCTTTTGACCAACCCCACAAAACCTGCTGTCCTGACTTGAACTCATTCATTGAAATCAAGGTGGAAAAGGATGAATGAAATCTATAGCCAAGAATAACTCTGGCTCTCACCATGCCTCATGTCCCAGAAATAAGTGGCCATGGGGCTTCCCAAAATAATGAGATGCTCTGTGCAGTCTGAGAAAGCAAATTTGCCTCTTTTTTTTTTTTTTTTGGAGATGGAGTTTCGCTCTTGTTACCCACGCTGGAGTGCAATGGTGCGATATCGGCTCACGGCCACTTCCACCTCCTCGGTTCAAGCAATTCTCCTGCCTCAGCCTCCCAAGTAGCTGGGACTACAGGCACGCTACCATGCCCAGCTAATTTTTGTATTTTTAGTAGAGATGGGGTTTCACCATGTTGACCAGGATGGTCTCGATCTCTTGACCTCGTGATCCACCCACCTTGGCTTCCCAAAGTGCTGGGATTATAGGCATGAGCCACTGCACCCGGCCTTTTTTTTTTTTTTAAACACAGTCTGTCCTGGAAATGGAAGCAGAAAGCTCTGATGGGATAAAAACTTATCTAAAAGGGGAGAAACCCTCTACTGTGAACAGTAAGTCAGAAAATGCTTATTCCTCAGCATTCCAAGAGAAGGCTGGGATGAGAAAAGGAGGAGGATAAGAAACATGAGGCCTTCTTGTCATATGCCTGTCTCTGAGTTGTTTCTGCCCCTATCCAATTCCACCCAAAGCTCTAAGGAAGCAGCCCAGGTTGTACCTTTTGCTTTTCCATGACTGCTGGTCTTGCTCTGCAGTGGAAGCGGAACAGGACCAGTCCAGGTTAATACTGCCACCTGGTGGGCAGTTTCAGTCACAAGCTTGAGTCTTCTACACAAGTTCTATCACTATTGGGGAATTGGCATCCTGATATAGTAGCTATTGTTTATTGAATTACATGAGGAAAATTTTACTATTCTTATCTTTCAGATGAGGAATTAAGGCTTAAAGAGTCCCTGTGTCTCACTAGCAGTCTCTCTCCCACTATGTAACCAAGCAAAATACACAGCTTTGTAGCTATTTCTTGGTTCCTGTCAGCCAAGCTGCATTTTGAGGAAAGGGTACATTTTGGATGGAATGAAAAGCAAAAATGGCTTTATATTTATTCAGTCTTACAACAAATATTGATTGCTTTACTAGGTGGCAGGTACTGTGCTAGGTGCTATGGATACATTGTTGATAAGGTTGGATGCTGTTCGGAGATTTTTTAGTCTAGTCAGGAAGCCAGGCAATAGACTAGGCAATGAAATGAACTGTGATAAGGTGACCATGGTGGAGTGGAGTACACTATGGCAACATACAGCAGGGGTAGCTAACCTACTCTTGCAGTCTGGGAAGGCTTCTTCTGAGAGGGTGTAATGTCTAAACTAAGCGTCCCCAAACTTTTTACACAGGGGGCCAGTTCACTGTCCCTCAGACCGTTGGAGGGCCGCCACATACTGTGCTCCTCTCACTGACCACCAATGAAAGAGGTGCCCCTTCCTGAAGTGCGGCAGGGAGCTGGATAAATGGCCTCAGGGGGCCGCATGCGGGCCGTGGGCCGTGGTTTGGGGACGCCTGGATTAGGGAGTCATCTGTGTATACAGATGATAAAGTCTTGGGGGATGAAAAGGGCCTTCGGAGACCCCAGCTCCAGTTCAGACTGTAGAGAGGCCACCCTGAGGTCATGGGCACTATTGGAGCATGCCCTATTAGCATATGTGTCTTCTACTTCTTCCCCCTTCACTCATCTCTGCTTCCAGTTATCCCTAGAAAACACAGGCTGTTCATCCCAATTGTGCCCATTGTTACCACCAGCACTTGCATGGGCCTCCTTTAATGGCTTCTCAACGTTTCTTAAGATTTACTCTCCCATCCTCACCCCAAAGGATCAAAGCTTCCAAATATTACTAGTCGTGTGGATATTTTGGATCTAACTGGAAGGAAGAATCTAGGTTCTCCTTTCCCAGCTGAACACAGGAAAGGAGGGAAAACATCATGGTTAATTCTGAAGATGTTACTCACATCAGGTTCTAGATGCAATCTGATCGCTCCCCTGTGTTACCAGTGCTTCGAGTCCTCCCTGCTTCCAGCCTGGTAGGAAACTCTCCTCAGGATCCTAGAAGAGCTATGGCCTTGACCAGGGAAACAGAGACTGATTCTCAGGAGAGATGAGGTCAGGGAGACAATGCAGCTAGGACAAAGAAGCCAAATCCGTTGTGCCAAATTAATTTCCCAAAAGATATTAACCTCCTCCCCTTCCACATTCCCTAAGGCTACTCTAAGATTATAAGAGGTGTTCAAAATGTTGAGATGAAAATAATATGCATGACTTGTTTGCATGTAATCTTCATACTCATTTACTATCTAAATACAAAGGAGTCATTTCCTTCTCCATTCTGCTTATTCCGCCCCTTGTCCCTGATGTTCTAGTCTGGGCAAAATTAGTTGGCTGGTTTTTTTGTTTGGTTTGGCTTTTTATTTTTGAGACGAAATCTCAACTCTGTCACCCAGGCTGGAGTGCAGGGGCCCGATTTCGGCTCACTGCAACCTCCGCCTCCCGAGTTCAAATAAGTGATTCTTTTTTGCGGGGGTGGGGACGGAGTCTCGCTCTAGTGCAGTGGCGGGGATCTCGGCTCACTGCAACTTCCGCCTCCCGGGTTCAGGCGATTCTGCCTCAGCCTCCCAAGTAGCTGGGACTACAGGCGTGTACCACTACGCTTGGCTAATTTTTTATTTTTAGTAGAGACAAGGTTTCACTATGTTGGTCAGGCTGGTCTTGAACTCCTGACCTCATGATCCGCCCACCTCGGCCTCCCACAGTGCTGGTATTACAGGCGTGAGCCACCTCGCCCGGCCACCTCAGCCAGGGTTTCTTTACCTTATTCTTGATCCTTCTAAAATAGTATCAGCCTTTTTTCCATCCTGATCATTTTCACTTGCAATTTCCTCTACATGGCCTTTCTTTGCTTCCTCTCAAGTTAATTCTTACTCTGTATCACCAGTTTTCAGTGGACCAACCAACGGGGCAAGGTGTTCGCTAGTCCTAAAACCAGGCCTTGGATCTCCATAGTCACCTGAAACGTTTGCTAAAAATCTCATTTGCAAACACCAGGGGGTGTCTATCCCTCTAACTATCCTACCCTTAAGGTAGAGATTAGTCCTAAACCTTTTCCTCACCCGTTTTCACTGCTTCTGCACTAGATCTCCTTCCCTCCTTCTCAAAGTAGAAATTAGTCCCATTTTCCCCACTCCTTTTCACTGCTTTTACAAACGCAAAATTTCTCCATCACAAAACTTTTTGAGTCCACAGAAGTTTTTAATTGCAGTTTATCTCTTTGGCTCTCATTCTCTCTGGACAAGCTTGTCTTTTTTTTTTTTTTTTTTTTAATTTATAAAATATATTTTTTCATAGAGACAGGGTTTCACCACAAGCTTGTCTTTTCCTTTGTCTGCGCACCCTTCGGCCTCTGCATCGCCCACACTCGCCTTTGCTCCCCAGCTCTTCCTTTCGCTACCTGTCTTCCACCTCTCCGTGGGCTTCGTCGTCGTCTTTCAGGGCAGTCTTTACGTGCACGTCTCTGAACCTCTTTATGCATCTGCCTTCTTCTCTCTGTCTTCCTCTATATGGCTTTCTCCTTGTCTCACCATTTCTGTGCCAGTCTCTCTCCATCTCTCCCACAGTCCCCAGGCTGGGAACAAAGTCACGGCGCTAGCGCAGAACATGCCTCCGATCGTCCGGTCGCGACCGCGACGTTCCACCATGCCCCTCCGCGCATTCCAACTGCGGGCAAAGAGTCCCCGGCCCCTCCCCCCGCACTCTTTCCTGTTCCAATTCTTGAGTGTTGTAGGAGCAGCTGCCACAACTGCCCCTGCCCGCCTCTCACGTCCAGTCCGCGGGTCTCCAGCTCCAGGGCAGTTAGCGCCAGCGCCCCCTCTGCACACACCAGCGATCCCTGCGCGGACACCCCCGGCGCTCGCGCACACACCGCGCTCCGCCCTCCCAGGAAAGTAGATCCGGCCAGGCAGACAAAAGTTTGGGACAGAAGTTCGGTCTGCTGCGAGCGTGAGAGTGAGGGGGCGGGGGCCGGGGAGAGTGGGGCAGTTGGGCGAGTCGACGCGTGAACAGATAGACCTGCGGACCGGACAGCCGCGGCCGGAGGCCTTGCCAGCCCCTCTGACCCACAGATGCGTGGGGGGACGCAGCCCCTCCCGCCGGGGGATGCTGTGCGATTCCTGGCGCCGGGCATCCGGGCAGCCAGCTAAGCCCCTGTGCCTCCCCTGTGCCCCTGGGGATCCAGAGTCCGGCTGCAGGGAAAGAGAACCGGCCGCAGAGACGCTGCAGGGTGCTGGGCGGGGAGGGGACGAGAGGCCCCAGGCCCGAGGGCATGGAGCGGTTAGGAGAGAAAGCCAGTCGCCTGCTGGAGAAGTTCGGCCGCAGAAAGGGTGAATCTAGCAGGTCTGGGTCTGACGGCACCCCCGGGCCGGGCAAGGGGCGCCTAAGTGGGTTGGGGGGACCTAGGAAGTCAGGGCCCCGAGGAGCTACTGGGGGACCTGGGGATGAGCCGCTTGGAGCCGGCCCGGGAGCAAGGTTCCCTGGACGCTGAGCGAAATCAGCGCGGCTCCTTTGAGGCACCGCGCTACGAAGGTTCCTTTCCTGGGGGGCCGCCGCCCACCCGGGCCTTGCCTCTACCTCAGTCATTGCCCCCCGATTTTCGGCTGGAGCCCGCGGCCCCGGCCTTAAGCCCCCGCTCCAGCTTTGCCAGTAGCTCGGCCAGCGACGCCAGCAAGCCGTCCAGCCCCCGGGGCAGCCTGCTGCTGGACGGGGCGGGGGCTGGCGGAGCTGGAGGGAGCCGGCCCTGCAGCAATCGCACCAGCGGCATCAGCATGGGCTACGACCAGCGCCACGGGAGCCCCTTGCCCGCGGGGCCGTGCCTTTTTGGCCCACCCCTGGTCGGAGCGCCGGCAGGCTATTCTCCCGGAGGGGTTCCGTCCGCCTACCCGGAGCTCCACGCCGCTCTGGACCGACTGTACGCTCAGCGGCCCGCGGGGTTCGGCTGCCAGGAAAGCCGCCACTCGTATCCCCCGGCTCTGGGCAGCCCTGGAGCTCTAGCCGGGGCTGGAGTGGGAGCAGCGGGGCCCTTGGAGAGACGGGGGGCGCAACCCGGACGACACTCTGTGACCGGCTACGGGGACTGCGCCGCGGGCGCCCGGTACCAGGACGAGCTTACAGCGTTGCTTCGCCTGACGGTGGGCGCCGGTGGGCGAGAAGCCGGCGCCCGCGGGGAACCCTCGAGTATTGAGCCGTCGGGTCTCGAGGAGCCGCCAGGTCCTTTCGTTCCGGAGGCTGCCCGGGCCCGGATGCGGGAGCCGGAGACCAGGGAGGACTACTTCGGTGAGTGAGAGAAGTGGTTAGGGGCAGGAAGGGACCTGTCATCACATTGGGTTCTCTTCTGTCCCGACGGCCCAAAGGGCCGGTGCCCCGGGGTCCCCCAGGTCCACGGTGGAGACGCGGGACTACAAAAGAAAGTAGAGGGAGGGATGGGGGCGGCACCAGAGCACTGACCCCTTCCCGCTGGGTTTCAGATAAGCCAGGGCTCCTTATTTCTGCTAAATTCAACCCTCCTGGAATCTCGTGAGTCCGTTTCTCAAGCACTGGAGCCTCAGTTTTTCGCGGCAGGAGACCTCTTGGGGAGGGGACCAAGTGGGGCAGTGAGGGCGCATCCCCCCCATCCTTCTTCCCCCTTCACTGCGGTGCCCCTGGAGGTTTGTGCGCGCTGCGCCCCCACCCGGGCCCAGGCTCCGCCCGCAGGAATTCAGAGAATGCGCGGGTGGGGGGCGGGGCAGGATGGCCGCGTGCGTGCCGACTCCTGCCCGGGCGCTCCAGGTGCCCGCGGGCGGGGCGGCCGCAGCTGTGTGGCGGAGGGGTGGGGTTCGGGGACAGGGGGGTGCTCCCTTGCACTCGCAGAGTAGTGGCGGCTGTCGGGGAAATGGAGGCTGGAAGGCAGGATGGAGCGAGCGCCCTGGGACGGAAAACAGGGACCCAACTGCTGTCCCTCCCCAGTCCTGTTGGCTAGGTGCGTGCGTGGGCGTCTAATCAGAGACCCAGTAGTACCAGCCTCTATTTCCCCTATCCTCCGGAAGTTATGGCAAAAGCCGTGACTACTGGGACACCATTACCTCTGGATGGATAACGATCCTGTGTTACTGCCAGAAAGAACCTGGCCTCGAATTCTGGCCATAACCTCTCAGAATTCAGGCTAGAAGTAGCGCTTTACTTCCTACTACTGTTAAGGAAACCAGGTCGCTGTCTTCCCTCCCCCTACTCTTTTCATGAGATGTTGATTGAGTATTTGTCTTAGCTGTGAAGAACATTAGGGTCTTGAAAGATCTTTTAGCCAAAATTCACAGGCAGTACTACACACGCAAAAAACTTCTAATCTGATTGTGATTAGAGAAAGTGGCAGGCTTATCCCCTAAGGGCTGTGGGCCTCTTTCACTTTTCCAAGCATCTCTTCTCACCACCCATGCCTCACTCCTGGACCCCATGCTATAGAACTCTGTGGCTAGAAAAGTGAATAGGGAGAGGAACACGGCCGGGAGGGATGATTGGGTAGGAGGTTCAGAGGTAGCAGGGCTGCAGGCTACAAGGGCGCTGCATAGTTCTACTCCCAACCTCCACCCCCATTCTCTTCCCCACCTCCAAATCCACCCTGAGAGGAAAGTCCAGAGGAGAAGATGCTAAACCACTTTGATCAGGGGAGACTGAATGTCAGGCCCCATTTAGCAGTTTCGTTTTGAGGCCCAGGAGAGGTGGCTAGTAAAGAAGTCTTTTTCGCTGAACCATTAGAGCCAAAAGGAAGAAAGGAACTCAGAAAGTGCAATAAAATGGCAGGAAGAACCTAGGTGTAGATATGCTGGGTTAGAGGAGGGGAGGCTGAATTGCCTCAGCAGTTTCGTTTTGTCTTCCCATAATGTCCAAGGCTTCCCAAAGAGTGGCTCTGACAGGACCCCCTGGCATGGCAATCTAGGGCAGATCTTCACTTCCATGAGGAAGCCACATTTTGAATTCAGAGATGGGGGCTCCTTCTCCCTAGGGGTCAGGTTGCCCCCTTTGACAGAACCCCAACATACCCCTTGTGTCCCCCAGCCCCAGCCTGACTGTACCCTCCTTTTCCTGCCCCTAGTAGGGGCCCTCTTCCTTGGCTTCAGCCTTGCCCAGCTGCCAGAGGGTGGGAGCAGGACAGGCCTGGGCCCATCAGTTGCTGCAGCTGCTGCACAGGCTCCCAAGCCCCTGGGCAAAGACTGGGATGGGCCCCAACAGGCAGGGAGTGTGGCAGCCTGCCGAGGGGGAGAGGTGGGGCGGGCCCGTTGGGATCTGCTCCCCAAAGACAGGCCCTAGCCCTCACTCATGGACCTGGAATTGGGGAGTGGAGGGAGGGAAGAACACACCCAGGAAAGGCGAGTGCCAGAGCCAGGTATATGTATCTTAGCAGGGGATTTTGGGGAAGAGCAAGCAGTTCAGTTCTGTGCTCCTCCCATGATGGAAGGTGGCTGGGAGGCATCAGGGGCTTTGCCACTCTCCCCCTTTTCCTGTGCAACGCTGGTTCCTGGAACACACCCTGCATTCTCAGTAGCCACCTCCCCACAGGAGTCATGCTCACATGGTTCCCCTCTGCACAGAGCCCTCTGCTGAGCCAGTTCCTTTTCTCCATCCTTGGAAGTCTGCAGCAGAGAGAAATCATTCTGTAACTGAACAGCAGCTTGTCTGACTGGTGGGAAAAACTGAAGTCCCAGAGAGGCTTTCTGGGCCTAGCATTCTTTCTCTAGAAAGTTTTTTCAAGTCTGCTGTGGACTCGCATTTCTGACCGTTCGTCCCACACACTGCAGCAGAGATCATACCTTGCCCGTGTGGTCTTTTCTCCCCAACAGAAACTAAGCATTTAAATGCCAGGGACCATATCTTCGACTTTCTCCAGGTTTCCTCAGGTAGTGGTGCTGTATCTGTTGAGTAATTAAACAAAAACGGATCTGCTCAGCCAAGATCTTGCTGTATTCCATTACCTGTTATCTTCCCTTCTCAGAAGGGAGCCCATCAAAGGGAGATTGTGACCCCTGGCACATCAGGAAAGAGTAGTGAGGAAAGCTTGGGAATCCCTGGTTTTGACCTGGGGGAGTACAGTGTGACTCTCTTTTCTCTTCTCAGGCACCTGTATCAAGTGCAACAAAGGCATCTATGGGCAGAGCAATGCCTGCCAGGCCCTGGACAGCCTCTACCACACCCAGTGCTTTGTCTGCTGCTCTTGTGGTAAGTGTAGCCCCAACACTCAAGCACCCCCTCCCCTGCCCACATATACACTTACAAGTGCTCTGGGGAATGGGGGAGAGCTTGTGCCTCTTCATTTGCTCACAGAGCAGCTGTTGGATCCCCACCAAGTATCTAGAGGTCCGCAGCTGCTCTGCCTCTCTTGCTTCCCTGTCTACGGTCTACCTGGCTCTCTCTGCCCCATGATGGGTCTCCTTTCTGGAGTCCCTCCTTCCTTCCTCACCTCTGTTTCTCCCTCATGCCTCCCTGCTTGCCCATCCTGGACTCGCCTGGCCCTCCAGCTTCTTGGTGGGGCTTGGTCTTGGGCAGCCAAGTTGCCTGGGGCGACCGTGAAAGACTGGAATGTAGGGAGGCGGGGGCAGGCTGAGGGAGTGGGGAGCTGTCGGGGGCGGAGAGGGGGGTTTTCTCTTGGCTGGTCAGAGTTCAGCCACCTCGCTAGAGTGCAGGCCACCGGGCCATGCCAAGCTGATGACATCACGCTCCAGGAATGCCTGCCACTGTTAGCTCAGGAGGCCCACTTGGGAAGGGGGGATGCTCCCAGCGGCCTTAACTGCCCCCCCTCACCTCCCTCATTACCCCCTCCCCACTGCTTACCCATTCTGATTCCTTTGCTAAACCTTTAATCTCCTATCTGCCTGTCCGACTCCAGCACTCAGCTTTTCTCACTCTCCCAGTTTCTGCCTGGTTTTTAGGCTCATCTCTGTCTATCCTTCTGTTTATAGGGCCTCTTCTAACTATCTCTCTTTCCCTGTCTTTCCTCCCCTGTATCTCATGAGCATCTAAGTCAGCTTTCCTAACCCACTGGACACAGCTGGAGGTGGGGATTTTGATGGGAAGATGGCAAAGGTGGGGAAATTGCTCATGCTTCACCTGTTCTCACTCCTCCCCAATCCCTGACAATTTAGAGACCTGGGAGCAGTTCCTGGGTTTTGGTCACATGAGGAATGATCCTGCCTTGTCTGCTAGAAGAAGATCCAGTGTTGCCTCTTACCCCAGAGACTCTGGGTCTCCAAGCTTAGGGAAGCAGCCTCATACAAACAGGAAAGGGGACCTGCTTTGCTCCCAAACCAAGCACTTTGTCCTCCTGCAGTAACTCCAGTCCTCAACTCTGTGGAGTCTGTCCGTGGAAGGAGATAGGGCTCTGAGAGCAGCATAGATACGCTTAGGCAAAGAGGCTTCTAGGTTGAAGGATCCCAGACAGTAAGGCCTGTAACAATGTGATTCTCTCTATGCAAATCATATAGCACCTTATTAAGAGCTCCTTTATCATGTATTTCAGCATGTGGTTGGCTTCACTCTCCCAGGTGGCTTCCTGTGCACTGGAGAGGAAGGCAGTTTGTTTAGGGGAGGGTTGTTAGGGGAGGGCCCTAGGAAACTCCTGAGGAGGCAGGAGCTGGAGGAGCCGCAAGCAGAGGAGAGGAGAGGAGAGGGGAAGTGGCTGGAATGAAGCCAAAGCAAATTGGAATTGCATCAGATGGAACTTTTGTGTGGGGAAGACGGATAGACAGCAGTTAGGAGGACAAGCACAAAGTCCAGGCTGGAAAATATTATGCAGCATTGGGGAGCAGGGACTCCAGAGTGGGAGAAGTCTTGCACCTGGGCTGTGGGATAGGTTCCAGCCCCTTCTCTGCTGTTTCTAGGACGAACTTTGCGTTGCAAGGCTTTCTACAGTGTCAATGGCTCTGTGTACTGTGAGGAAGATTATCTGGTGAGTAAGGGTCACCTGGACCTGGAATTGGTTTCCATCCTGACCGCCTTCTTGGTGGCCTATTGGAGTTCCACCCATCATCCTCAGTTTGATAACAGCCTCCCTTTGTCTTGTCTTTTACTTTAGTTTTCAGGGTTTCAGGAGGCAGCTGAGAAATGCTGTGTCTGTGGTCACTTGATTTTGGAGAAGGTAAGTAAAGTGCCTTCAGCTGAGACTCTCACTGTGCAGCTGAGGAGTAGAATCGGGGACTAAATGGATACTAGAGAAGGTTGAGGGAAGAAGACTTTCACCCCATTCCTCCCCAGAGCAACTGTTTACAGTGGCTTCCCTCTGCCTTTGGGATCAAGTCTGGGCTCCAAAGCTTGTCTTCCCGGGCTTCTGTGACCTGGCCCCTCCCTAATTCTGCAGGCACAGCCAGGCCTTCCAGCCTGAGCTAGGAGTGTGGAGTCTTGCATCTTTTTTTTTTTTTGAGACAGCATCTCACTCCAACACAGTGGCATGACCTCAACTCACTGCAACCTCCACCTCCCAGGTTCAAGCGATTCTAGTGCCTCAGCTTTCCGAGTAGCTAGGACTACAGGCATGCGCCACAATGCCTGGCCAATTTTTGCATATTTAGTAGAGATGGAGTTTTGCCACGTTGGTCAGGCTGGTCTCGAATTCCTGGCCTCAAGTGATCCTTCTGTTTCAGCCTCCCAGAGTGCTGGATTACAGGCGTCAGCCACCGTGCCCGGCCTGGGGTCCTGATCCTGAGTCTTCATCCCCTTTCTGCTACTGGTTAGAATCACTTGAGACTTAGTTTTCTTTTCTGCAGAAAAAGAGAGATTGGATTAAATCAGTGATTCTCAGTCATGGTAGCCTAGTATATCAGCTGGGAAGAACTAAAAAAAAAATACAGTGTTTGGATCCCATCACCAGAGATTGTGATAATAGGTCTGGAGGAGGGCCAAAGCATTGATGTTTTTTAAAAGCTCCCTAGGTGATCCTGATAGGCAGCCAGGGTTAAAAACTACTGGCCTGAATGTTCTCTCAGGCATTTTTCAGGGTTTCTGCCTCCATTTTAAAACTTCTTTCTTCCCCCACATTACATAGCATTGTTCTAGGAGGATAGCAGGGGGTTGGGTGAAGTTAATGGGTTAGTAAGGAGCATAATGGGCAGCTGGAGAGCTGGGACTGGAGGGAGACTGATTCTCTTGCTACCCCATGAGCCAGATCCTACAGGCAATGGGGAAGTCCTATCACCCAGGCTGTTTCCGATGCATTGTTTGCAACAAGTGCCTGGATGGCATCCCCTTCACAGTGGACTTCTCCAACCAAGTATACTGTGTCACCGACTACCACAAGTGAGTCCATCCCTTGGGATGCAGTGTGGAACTGGGTCCAGGGATCCCCCAACCTGAGCTCATCTCTGCCCTCTCTCTTTCAGAAATTATGCTCCTAAGTGTGCAGCCTGTGGCCAACCCATCCTCCCCTCTGAGGTCAGTATGTCTGGGTTCTCCTTCAGGACAGCCAGTGCCACTGTCTCTGGGGAGGGAATAGGGACATGCTGCCCAGCCTCCCTCCGGAAGTGAAAGTGCCGAGGAATGTACTCTGAACATTCCCGTGTGACTCTGCTTCTTGGGGTCACCACCCTGACCCTAACATCCGGGCCTGGACATGTCTGAAAGTCAAATTGGGCTCAGGCTCCATATCGTCTATCCCAGTCCAGAGGAGGAGACTTTCTCTGAGGTTGAGGTCACCAGACTGTAGATGTAGGGGCTGGAAAAATGTGGGAAGAATCCTCAATACTGGCAGGAGGGGGTTGGAAATGATTTAAGCTATGTGTACAGGATGTGTCTATGGAGAAAAGCCAAAGCCAGTGAGGACCAGATATTGTTGGATCCCCTTGTTCCCAGCCTCGCCTACTTTATTTATTATGCCTCCTGTCCCTTTCCCTTCCCTTTGCTTCCCCCACAACTGGAAGACTTAGGTAAGGCCAGGGCTCTTGTACAGATGGGGGCAGCCCAGTGAAGGAGATGAGGAGAGTTCTGATAGGATTTGCAGAGGCATATTAAAGCTACAGGTGATTGCAGAGAGGCTCTAGGGCATTTGTGTGATCTTCCCAAGGGGTGGGAGGGGCTGTATATGGGGGAAGGGTAGAGGTGAGGCAACATGCTGCTCTCATCTCCATGGGCGTCTGCGTGTTTCAGGGCTGCGAGGACATTGTGAGGGTGATATCCATGGACCGGGATTATCACTTTGAGTGCTACCACTGTGAGGTGAGTGTTGGGGTTCAGAAGCGCTGGAGGGGAAGTGGAATTGGGGAGAGGGGAGGAGTCAAGTCCTACAACAACCAGATATCTTGGGAAGAGGTGGACGGCATGGGAAACCAGAAAGGTACCGTGACCTATCTTCAGTCTCTTTCTTGTCCTCCAGCCACTCTCTCTGGTCCAAGTTGCTTAGTCCTTTCTGAATCTGACTCTCCCAGAGCCAGGACTTTCTAAGGCTAGGGTCTCTGGTTAAACTGCTGTCAAGACAGGCTTGTCTTTCTTGTATTTCTGCTGCAGCAGCGACACCTGGTGTCCAGCTGAGGTACCAATATTTTCTCAGATTGCTCTTCCATCCCTTCCATCCTTCCCTCCCCCATCATTTCTTCCAGTTATTAGGAGTCGGGTGCTGAGCAGGGCAGACTCCTAAGATGCCCTCAGGGTCCAAGGCGCCTGGGCTGAGGTGAATTAGGTGCCTTCTTCCCTAGGACTGCCGGATGCAGCTGAGTGATGAGGAAGGCTGCTGCTGTTTCCCTCTGGATGGGCACTTGCTCTGCCATGGCTGCCACATGCAGCGGCTCAATGCCCGACAGCCCCCTGCCAACTATATCTGAGCTTCAGTCACTGCTGCTGCCGTCGCCACCGCTGACAAACTGCTCTGGCCAGTGGGCCCCTCTGAGGCCAGCCAAGGCAAATAATGCACTCTACAGGTCTGGCAGAAGAGTCCTCTGGGGAGGACCCCAAGGCCAGAGACCCAAAGATCATGACATTCCAAATGGATTGCGGAGGAGAAACTTTATATTTACCAGGGTGGGGGTGACTGGCCTTTTTTCCATGTGTGCAGCCTGAGCTTAGGCACACACAGGAGGGTTCCAGTACTTTCTCAACGTCTGATTCTGTATCTTCAGTACATATATATATATATATATATATATATATATATATATTTTGTTTGTTTGTTTGTTTTAGAGATGGGATCTCGCCGTGTTGCCAAGGCTAGTCTTGAATTCCTGGGCTCAAGCGATCCTCCCACCTTGGCCTTCCAAAGTGCTGGGATTACAGGTGTAAGCCACTGTATCTGGCCTAGTATGTGATTGTTTATGAATCATGCAATGTTCTGGTCCCAGATTCCAAGAGTAGAGGACCTAGCTTTAAATCAACTAGTTTCAATGAAACTGACTAGAAACAAATCAAAGTGTATTTCTCCCTTCAGCTCCCCCAAAACCCAGAGTTTTGGGGTTGTGGTTGATGCAGTGTGGGACCCCTCTGAGAGGTGGCAGTTCTAGGGTGGTGAGGTCCTGCTAAGCAACCAAATTTAAGCTCCTCACTTTTTTGTGACACATAGTGTCAGATAGGGGGTCTTCCAGGTGCTTACCACCATAAGCACCTGTATCTGGATAAAGAGGCAGAAACTCTGAACCTCATTAACGAGTTATTTCTTGGCCTTCTTCTAAGGACTAGGAGAGCTCCTCATCTATCTGCTGAGAATGGGGACCAGCTCTGAGTGGGCTTGCTGCCTGTATTCCTTGTTTCTCAGGGACTCACGTGGGTCTGGGGAGGCTAGGTGAGTGCTTGTACTTGGTTGCTCTTCTCCTTGTCTGGGGGAGGTAATGGGTGTGTTCATGCGCGACCCCCACCCCTTCTCAGGTCACTACTGGTTTCCTAGTAGTAGCTCACCTGCCACATCTCAGAGTGGCTCCAGCTTGTGTCCATCACAAACCCAAAACTAGAGTTGGGGGGAACTGGAGGGAGCAAAACACTGGTTTGGTACTAGTCAGTTTGTCTGAAATTAGTTCACCTAAAGCTAGATCTCTTAAAACCAATTTACTGAAAACTTGTTTGCTTAAAGTGAATGACTTAATGACTAATTTGCCAAAAGCTCAATTCCTATTTTGGTGTGTTTATATCCATTTAGGTGTCCTATTATTTTTTGTCATGCTTTGGGTATTTCAAGGATTTATATCTATTCATCCAAGACTACTTCTGAGTTACTATCAGCAACATAAATTTGTCAAATTTGCAGCACTTTGTGAATGATGAGATTGCTTCCTACCTTTATGGATGTCTTTTTCTATGTTATCTACTTTTCAAAAACTTTTTTAAAAAGTTTAAAGTTTCTAGCAATAAATACAATTGGTGCAGACATTTTGTGTATCTTTTTTTTTTTTTGTCTTAATCCAATATTCCTTTACAAATTAAATGCCTTGAAAAATGTAATGGAGTTCAATGTGATTCTGATGCTTTGGTCTTAACTTCTACATTCCTACTATTAAAATGCCAGTATATCTTAAATAGGCATGAGGCATATTCAGTTGACTTACAATTAAAGGTTATACAGACAACAGTAATAAAAAGTAAAAGGGTGAATCTGCTAAATCCTTTTGAAATGCTGCAGATTTGATAAATATTTATTTTAGACTAATTGGCTTTAGGTGAATTGGTTTTAGGCAAATTAATCTAGCAATTTTTGATCTTTAGTCTTCCTTCATTTTCTGTCACTCAGTGAGTTTCATCCTGGAAATGATGACTCCTGAGAACAGAAATTCCACATCTGGGGCCTATTCTAAGATGACTATGCCAGCCGACCTGGGAAATACATAGAAGAGACCTCTAAGTGAGAGGGAAAGAGTTCAGATTCATACAATGAGCACCAGAGGGAGAAATGCACCTTGTTGGGGAGAGAAATGTTCTGAAACTGAATTACTGCTTGTTCAGCTGAGATTGCATCTTCTGAATGATTATTATTGAATAAGTGAATATAAAGACCCTGTGATGGGAAATCCAGACAAGCTTGCATAACTTTACATCCATCCCATCAGGTTTTTTTTTGTTTGTTGGTTGGTTTGTTTTTGGAGACAGTCTCACTCTGTTGCCAGGGCTAGAGTGCAATGATACGATCTCAGCTCACTGCAACCTCTGCCTCCTAGGTTCAAGTTATTCTCCTGCCTCTGCTTACTGAGTAGCTGGGATTATAGGCAGGCACCACCACACCTGGCTAACTTTTGTATTTTTAGTAGAGAATGGGGTTTCGCCATGCTGGCTAGGCTGGTCTCGAACTTCTAACCTCAGGTGATCCACCTACCTTGGGATTATAGTCATGAGCCACTAAGCCCCACATCTTTTTTTTCGAGTTGGGAGTCTTGGCCAGGTGCAGTGGCACACACCTGTAATCCTTGTAATCCCAGCACTTTGGGAGGCTGAGGTGGGCAGATCACCTGAGGTCAGGAGATCAAGACCATCTGGGCCAACATGATGAAACCCCATCTCTACTGAAAATACAAAAATTAGGTGGGTCCGGTGGTGTACACCTATAATCCCACCTACTCAGAAGGCTGAGGCAGGAGAATCACTTGAACCCAGGAGGCAGAAATTGCAGTGAGCTGAGATTGCGCCACTGTACTCCAGCCTGGCGACAGAGCGAGACTCCATCTCAAAACAAAACAAAACAAAACAAAACAAACACAAAGAGTTGGGAGTCTCAATCTGTTGTCCAGGCTAGAGTGGAGCATCCCAATTATGGCTCACGGCAACCTTGAACTCCTGCACTGAAACAATCTTCCCACCTCAGCTGGGACTACAGAAGTGCACCACTATGCTTGGCTAAGTTTTAAAAAAAATTTTTTACAGACAGCATCTTGCTATGTTGTCCAGGCTGGGCTTGAATTTTTGGCCTCAAGTGATCTCCTACCTTGGCCTCCTGAGTCACTGGGATTACAAGCATGAGCTGCTGTGCCCAGCTCCTGACCCTTTGTTTCTTACTCTGATTTTGGCCTCCTCTGTTCCTGATCTGACTCATTCCTTTCTAGGTCTGTGCTGATTGGCCTAGCCTCAGGCTCCCCAACACTGTTCTTGCCACTGAGGCTACTTCTCCTGAGGAAAAATGAATGTCAACAGCTGATAAGGGCAGGCCATGACAAAAGAGCAGTCCCAATCACCCCAACACCATTGCTGGCAGGCTCCCAGGTGTACCCTGCATCACAAGAGCGTCCTTTCTTCCTATTTACTGAGAGACTAATCCTCCTCAATATTTCTGTTGAGTATTTCATTTGTCAATGAAAGATTCATGGGGTGCTGCCAAGTATATAGCAAAAGGTAGACCTTGTTTGGCCAACTTGCCACCTGATTTAATCAATAACCACTAGTGCTGAGATGCAGAAATGGGGAAAATGGAGGAATTATGGATCTACTCTGTCTTCTTAGATGATAGTCACAGAACAAGGGTTAGGCTTTAACTACAGTCTTCAGTTCTTTGCTCTGGCCAGCCCTATTTACCACAGGCCTGAATGGGTTATCAAGAAAAAAGCTGGTGGCCAGGTGCAGTGGCTCACATCTATAATCCCAGCACTTTGAGAGGCTGAGGGAGGTAGATCACCTGAGGTCAGGAGTTCAAGACCAGACTGGTCAACATGATGAAAACTCATCTCTACTAAAAACACAAAAAATTAGCCAGGCGTGGTAGAGGGAGCCTATAATCCCAGCTACTTGGGAGGCTGAGGCAAGAGAATCGCTTGAACCTGGGAGGCAGAGGTTGCAGTGAGCCAAGATTATGCCATTGCACTCCAGCCTGGGCAATAAGAGCAAAACTCCATCTCAAAAAAAAAAAAAAAAAAAAAAAAAAAAAAGAATAAAGCTAGTAATGGTCCTCTCTCTGCCTTACTCTTTAGAGACTTGATTGTCTCCCCCTCTACCACCTGGAGATTTCAGAGCCAGGGAAATGGTAAGATGCCATTTATAATCAGGCTAGAGTGTCCTCAGTCAAGGAGGATGTAGAGAAAGACTTACTTCCACACACATAAAGCCAGTTGGGCCAGGCATGATGGCTCACACCTGTAATCCCAGCATTTTGGGAGGCTGAGGCTGGCAGATCACAAGGTCAGGAGTTCAAGAGCAACCTGACCAACATGGTGAAACCCAATCTCTACAAAAAATAAAAATTAGCTGGGTGTGGTGGTACACACCTGTAATCCCAGCTACTCTGGAGGCTGAGGGAGGAGAATCACTTGAACCCAGGAGGAGGAGGTTGCAGTGAGCCGAGATCATACCACTGCACTCCAGCCTGGGTGACGGAGTGAGACTCCATCTCCCAAAAAAAAGCCAGTTGGATGAGAACCTTCAGATTGTACCTATAAAGAAGGGAATAAAAGAGGAAAAGGATGGCCATGGGCAGGCACTGTGGCTCATGCCTGTAATCCCAGCACTTTGGAAGGCTGAGGTGGGAGGATTGCTTAAGTCCAGGAGTTCAAGACCGGCCTGGGCAACACAGTGGGGCCCTGACCCTGCAATACAGGTGTAGTGTGCATCTGTAGTTCAACTACTCTGGAGACCGAGGTAGGAGGATCACTTGAGCCTAGGAGGTTCATGCTGACTGAGCCTTGATGGTGCCACTGTACTCCAGCCTGGGCGACAGAGTGAGACCCTGTGGCTTAAGAAAAAACCAGGGGCCGGGCACGGTGGCTCAAGCCTGTGATCCCAGCACTTTGGGAGGCCGAGGCGGGTGGATCACGAGGTCAAGAGTTCAAGACCATCCTGGTCAACGTGGTGAAACCCCATCTCTATTAAAAGTACAAAAAAATGGGCCGGGTGCGGTTGCTCAAGCCTGTAATCCCAGCACTTTGGGAGGCCGAGGCGGGTGGATCACGAGGTCGAGAGATCGAGACCATCCTGGTCAACATGGTGAAACCCTGTCTCTACTAAAAATACAAAAAAGAAACTGGGCATGGTGGCGCTTGCCTGTAATCCCAGCTATTGAGGAGGCTGAGGCAGGAGAATTGCTTGAACCCAGGTGGCGGAGGTTGCGGTGAGCCGAGATCGCGCCATTGCACTCCAGCCTGGGTAACAAGAGCGAAACTCCGTCTCAAAAAAAAAAAAAAAAAAAAAAAAAGTACAAAAAAATTAGCTGGGCATGGTGGTGAGTGCCTGTAATCCCAGCTACTCAGGAGGCTGAGGC